TGAGTCCGGTTAGGTCCCTCTTTTGACTCCAATAAAGGTGGGTGACTTAATTGGTCTACTACAATAAAGTTCAAGGATATTTGTACAAATATGAAACCCTAATGGTGTGTTATAAATATGCCCTTTAAGGGCACATTTTCCAAGGTTATGGTTTTAGCCTTTTTCATTCTCTCAAAGTGAGGAGAGGCTCCTAAGGAGCACAAGGGAGAAGACCTAATGGAGGAAGCATTTGGCTAGGCCATTGAAAGGTCCTTCGAGGTTATCATCTTACCCTTTACGTGTTAGGATTTAAAATAAAACTCCAATGATCTCAAGGTGATCCAAAGATCCACCATGCATTTGGGTTGAATCGTCAATAGGAAAATTGATTTCCTAGTGTGATGATTAAATATCTCCATTCCAATAAATGGTATCAGAGCCATGGTTATAGGAAACATTGAGTAGGATTAAAGTTTTTTTTAATCCGAGTGTAAATTGCATTTTTAGTATGGGTGGTGTTAGGATATTTGATTTGACATGTTATTGCTTTATTTATTACTTTATATGTTGCTTTGTATATTGAAGTAAATATTAATGATTGTGCATAATCACTTTTGATCTTAGAATTTTTGCTTCTTATTGTTGTAATTCATTTTTCTTGTTGCTCTTTTACCTAGAAATTTTGTAAGCCATAAGGCACTAGGATTTTATGTATTTGGGAGAGAAAAATCCTTAGTATGAAGTTGTTGTTGGAAGAAGAGCATGTAGAAGAAAATGTATGAACTCGAAATGTGAAAAACATGGCAAGGGCGGACAGCAGCTGGAGCTACTGCTGGGCAGCAGCTGAAGCTACTGCTGCTGCCGGAAGCCACCGACGGCGGCGGTCCTTGGTGGAAGTGGTGCTAGGGTTTGTACTATTGGGCCAAATTTTGATTTTTTGGTCTTTTCTTAAAAACTTGGGTCAATCCTATTGGATAAGGGCCTTCTTCTTTTTTTAAGATTGGTACTCAAAAATTAAATTGGTCCACACTTGGAAGCATGGATTGGACTACAAGGAAATTGAAGAATTGGGCCGAAATGTGGCCCAATAGGATACTTTAATTCTTGTTGTAATTTTAATTCTTAGGATGGGCCATAAGTGATTATTATTCATTTAATTATTGCTTTTATCGCTTTATGGATGATGAATAAATGTATGATTATTACATGTCATGTAGATTAAATGAAACACCACCCGGTGCACTAAAAACATATGCATTTGCATTTAATAATTTTTTGTCACTCTAAATTAATTAGAAGTGACGAAAAGTTATTATTAATAATTTAGTGCCATTATAATTGTTTATATTTGGCTGAGTAATTATTAATGAAAACCAATATTCTTAAAATAATAAGTGGGAGAGTGTTTATAAGCATGAATAAACCCGCGGCCTCCTCCGTCATCCAATTTGTTATTAAGATACGTGTGTTTAGTATCGAATTACATCGGTCTCCATATAGGAAAACGACGTTATTTTTTATTAACGGAAATTGGATCTTGTAAATAGAATTTTTTTTAAAAATGTAATAAGTGGGGATTATCCTATAGATAACACCTCACCTATTTTGGGTATTTTAAAAATAATTGACGGAGGTTATTATACTTATATGTGAACATTTTTGGAGGACTTCCTATAGAAGATTCCAACAAAATTATTCATAGGCTAAATAATAATCAATACGCATTACATTGTGGCATGAGATGCCGAGCTCAATAAAATGAGTGGGAGGGTCCCAACCTTGCCGTCAACTACATTAACCTCCTATAGAGGGCGTGTTTAAAGTTGTAAGGGTTTAAGGTCTTTGATTTCAAAATATAGTTTTGGGGTCTATATTCATATACTCATATACATGCATCATACAAAGATTATTATTCATTTTAATTAATACGCGAATCGTTAATTCTTTTCAGCAAAATGTCTCTTAATCCATTATCAGTGATACTTAAACAAAATCAACTTGTGGGAGAAAACTACGTTGACTGGAAAAGAAATCTTAACATTGTTCTTACTGCTGAAAAACACAAATTTGTGCTGACTGAAATTTGTCCCGAACCCCCTAAAGATGATTCCACAGAATCTCAAAAGGCTGCATATGAAAAGTGGCGTCATATGATGAGATGGCCCGTTGCTACATT